CCCACCCCCCACCCCCAATACCAATTGGTACCGCAATCATTAAACTGGCAACGGATTTCGCGATTTGCTAAATGAATTCCCACCTTTCACCTTCCGGGGCGAAACAAGCTAGCAACATTCATCTAAAATTAATTCTTCTCTAGATTCATCACCTGTGAATTCCCACCTCTGTTTGAGTTCATTCTTTTCCCTCAAAATATGCTCTGGCTCTGAGACTGTCTTGCTTATTAAATGTGCATCTCATTCAATAAGCTCTCAACTGTCTGAGCTGATGGCCAGAAAATTGATAAGAGTAGACAATGTGGTAAATCGCTTTCTTGTTTAACGCTATGAGGTAAGAGATCCTGCAAATGGCCCCGTTTCAATTCAACAGCAGGTATCTTTCATAACTTCAACCGTGTGTTGACCAAATTTCAAAACTCTCTAATAACAGTCAACAGTTATTACCTTAGAAGGAAAGTTCAGCAGGGTTTTGGACGTCTAGTAATGTATTTTTTTTCAATAAATATAAAGCAGAAATCACCTAGCGGGTCTTAAGTTTCCCATTTCTTGCGGAGGTAGGCGAAGTTGCGACACTATTTCTTGCAGACAAACAATCTCAAATGACATTTCCTTAAATATTAATTAGAATTAACGAACTAGGACGCTGCTTTAGATTATAAAAGTCAATCACTTCATAAGTAATACTAAAATCTAAATATATATACTTGAGAAGATTAGAGTAAGGCGTTTTGACCAAATGCAGAAAATCTGAATGACTCCTATGGATTGTCAGCTAAGCCAAACAGGAAGGGTGAAGTGTGTGGATTAATGTCAGATTCGAAAATGTATCGTTAAGGTAGTAGATAGCTAATTTGATCCATTATTTGCCCTAAGTTTAACTCACTTCAAATATATTGATTAAGTGACATTTTTCTCTACAATGCAAAATGGAAATAAAGTTTACTTTGGAGATTAATCTACAGTATGTGAAAGAAGTTTGTTTTGTACCCCCAGTGTTCGCAGAACAGGACTTCCGTTGTAGATTTAAATCAGTCGATAGTAGTCAGGGTGAGGAACTGCAGCATTTCAGGAGCCAGGCTTAGCGTGCTCCGTGAACGAAATTTTGCTCCGGAATTGAGAGATTTTTATCGCAACTTCTCAAGTCTGAAAGAGAAGGACAGTATGATGGGTTAAAAGCAAAGCAGATCTCCTGCTCTGAATCTTCTGGCAATTTCTGCTCCTATTTTTTTCTAGAAGTACTCCCACTTCCTTCGAATCCTTGACGACTAAACTGGCACAGGTGGGAAGACCGGATAAATCCCCCCCTCCCCCACCCCAATTTCTTTCGCTAATACTGTTTACCGAAAATATTTCCTCTGCTTTGAGTTTGAAAAGTATTGCTCATTTTTTTATTTAAACAGAGGACCGCAACTTAGGGTATTTATTGAAATTGGTTGAGTCTTTAAAGAGTTAGATAACTGACTGGTGTATATTTATACTCTTCACCGATCCGTTAGTGGAAAAACTTTGAATTAAGAACAAAAAATATTTTGAGTTTGTCTTTTTTTAATTATTAATATAGGCTGATTTTAATCTCCAACTTTTGAGGCAAATTTGCAAATAAAATTCTATTTTAACGTCTATATTTTTCAAGAGTTTTTTTTTTGAAAAAAAATGACCTAAGGGTTCATTGAAAAGAGGCACAGTTTTGTGATATTTAATTCCTATCAATTTTTCTTGAAGGATATCAAAAATGCGTCCATTGCATTTAATGCATTTGCTGAGAGTGCGCTAACGGGTTCTCAGTTAGTACAAGCTTCGATCGAAACTAGAAATCCAATGGAAGATTTCAGGTCTTTGTGGAGAGAATCAAATAGAAGAGATGCTCCCCAGTCATCATATTCGACGCCTCAAAACTTTAATTGGCCAGAAAATAGTTCTTCAGCTTATCACGAGAGAAATGACGACTGGAGAACAATACCAGATCCATCTGTTCAAATTTCAAACTTACTTCCATCATCAAACAGTCAATCTCACACCTCCGTCACCTGTAATCCATCTTTCCCGAACTTACTCCAATTGGAATCATTTCAAACTCCATCGTCGTCCAATTCTTCATTCCAAATGTAAGACTCTATTTCCATAGCTTTCGTTTCAGTATTATTGCGCTTCTATCAGTCTAATGCCTGTGAGTCTAGTTTCTCCCACCTTGGTAAATAAGCAGTGAACGCAAACCCAGGGAGAGTGGTAAGGGCAAACTCAAAAACGGCGATAGATATGACCGAGATATATATACCCCTTGAAGCACAATTAGCTCATCGAGGAAAATGGTAAATGATCGCTTGAATACTGTGAATACTGAATACTTGAATACGCTTGAAGAGTCATTCAGCCTGGAAATGTGAAATTTTGCATTACATAGTCTGACTAATATTCTGTGGCCATTTCAGTGAAGTAAATCATCCCTTCCAACCCCCAAGAACGACAAATCTTCAGATTAATGAACCAAGTCATGAAAATGAACACGAAGAGCAGACAGAAGATACAGACGACCAGGAAAGCAGAAATCGTCGAAGAAATGTCACACGAGAGAGTACTCGACATCTGAAAAAGTGGCTGAATGCCCACCTCTCAAATCCCTACCCAAACAAGGGTGAGAAAATCATGTTGTCTATTTTATCTGGGATGTCAATTACTCAGGTGTCAACGTGGTTTGCAAATGCCCGACGGCGTATAAAGAAAGAGCACCAAATAACTTGGAACTCCGGTGCCAAATCACCTCCTGAAAATTCCGCGTTGACAAACGAGACGCCTGTCAATCCCTCGATGAATTTTCAACCGCAAAATCAGCAGCCCCCAACCAATTGGGAAGTAGGAGGTTCGGCTGGTAATTCATTATTGAGATTTTTGTCAAATGAGATACTTTTTTAAACATTCGCTTTTATTAATTTAAAGTTTAAATCAGTCAAAAGAGATTGTACAATTCAGTCGTGATTAGGCAGAAGAATTCAATTCCAAATGTTTGAAAGTTTGCAAACGTAATTCATTAAGATATCCTACAGAACTATTTGTTCTTCAACTTTCTGAGAAGGGGATTTAAGCTACGTGCACACCATCCAGAAACACGGGTTTGTGAATTTAGTGGTGTTCGTTGAATACATTTAGCAGTTCAAACATATCCTATTATTATTTATTTATATCAAATGGCAGGCATTATGATAGTTATCATTAGCCCGTTAGTTGAATTTAGGCTTCACAGAGTGGAAGAAAAATCAAAGTAAAAAAAGGACGAGAGGAGAGGGGGGGGAGAGAAGAGTGTTTCAAAGATGTAAAAGAAACAGACGCAAAGGTAGAAAAAGGTGAGGTGATTACTGTGGAAGTAGTGGAATATGACATAGAGTGGGGTGATGGTAGTTTGAAGTCAGAAGTCAACTGCCAATTAATAGACATTTTTGCCATTATGAGCATACGTTGCCCAGGGTGCACCACGTGGAGGTAAGTCTATTATCGTATTCAGCCAAATTTTGCAATATTTTCACGCGGAAAACTAAGCGATTAATGAAATGGAAATCGAATTTTGGCTACTACCATATGCATTAACCATGGTGACTCGATCTCTCATCCAAATATGTTTTTTTCCTGTTTTGGGATTTACTTAATGGCAACTTGGTTGAGGTTCCATGGTAGATCAAAGGAGTATTCGCATTCATTGAATTCTGCCTGTTAGAAATCAATAAAGTAGCGCCCTTGTCTGCCATGGCTTTTTCTGATGTTAATGTTCTATCAGCATTGAAAAGTGTTTTAAGAGTGGTTTCATCTAATTTTGGGACGATACTTTGAAAAGATAGATTGCGATCAGCTGAAATTTTCTCTTAATAGACACTTGGTTAGATTTTCAGCCCGAACTCATCTACTCGAACGACATATTGCTCGTTAATTGTATTTTTTTTGAGATTTCAAGTACTAATAGGATACACAGGTGAATGGTTTTGTTAGAAGCACACGATGCGGTATATCAGATTCAAGAGAGTGACTTCATTTTTGTACCAATCCTTTACGTAATTAGAGCCAAATGAAGGTGAGCTCAGTGGCGATTAGCAACACAAGAATCAGGGAGATCATCTGGGGTGGGGAGTTGAGGCAACAGAGGACTGATATTATTCTGGAAGATTTTTTTACTTGCAATCATTATCCATCAAAATGCACTGTGGGAGAAGAAGTATTATCGGGTCCAACTGCGATTTCAAGCGTCCCCAATCACATCAAAGTAGTACAAATTCTTGAAGAATGATTAGCCAAGTCCCGGAACTATATGAAACGAACATTTGAAGGGACCATCCAGTGACTTTCATTAGACTTCTCACATCATTTGAAAATGAGGGTGAGAGTGTCCTCAAGAGTGGAAAGGTAAAGCCCATATTTCAGTAGAACTTGATGTGGCAAAGAACAAGGCGATCGAGTGGCGTATCTACCTTCCAAATTTATTGATAGCAATTAAATAGGAGACTAAGGTAGAATTTCCAGAAATTTTTCTAAACAGCCAAATAGTTGTGGCAGTTTTTGAGCCTAAATTTACTTATTGAAGACGCGTATTAGACCCTGTTTACAAGTCCTTCAAAATTCGAAGTTTCAGGATATTCCTCTATGATCATTTTCACTGTTGTATCAATTCGTTGTTCTGTAGAATTAGGAGTGGACGAAAGACCAATCTATGTCATGATTAATCAATATTAAGAGTCAAATCATTCAATATCATGTTAGTATGTGGAGTGTGTCCCCAAAACAATGTACACCCATTTAAAACAATTGTACTCTAATAGGTGTCATTTACTCGAACCTTCTGCAGTAGTCAGTTATGCCAAGAATTAGAGGAGACTTTGAAGATGATGAGTTATATTTTAAACAAGATGGGGCACCCCGACACATTAACATCGCGATGGTAGGTCTTTCCTTGGTGAGGTCTTGACAAATAGTTGGATTGGACGTAGAGGTTTTGTTAAATATCCTCCCCTGTTAATAAGACCTCATACCACAAGATTTTTTCGTATAGGGTTACTTAAAAGGCAAAGTCTACTCTACAAAACCTGCAAAAGTCACTGAATTAAGAGAAGCCATTGAGTATGAATGCGTTCAAATCCGCAGGGAATTATTTCATAATGTGTGCGATTCCAGTGTTTGACGTTGTCATCAGTGTCTAGATCAAAATGGGCGTTAATTTGAGAATAAACTGTGATAAACTTATGAAATGATAAAACTCTTATTAAACGCTACTTTTACAATTAGTTCAATTTGTACTCATTTTTGGGACTATACCCCAAGTTTATATTTTAACCACACAGGCCCTGAATCATAGGTATGAAATTTAGTTATGACTTTCAATTTGGCCTCATATCAGCGTTTATTGGATTTCTGATTAATATCTTTCATTTATTTTTCAGAATCTGCTATTCCATCAGCACCGAATCGTGATTGGACGTGGCACGACCAATACGGGACTCAATATACTTCGCACCAAAATCACTTCTTAAATGTCTATTCATCTTATTTTAGCCACGTTTGAGAATTTCTATTTCTTGTGTTCTCATTATCCTTTGAATAAACAGCTTAATAAGATAAGTTTCACCATACACCTCCCACTGACCATACCCATGTATTGAAATTCATTTTTCGTAGAGTAAATTTGCTCCTACTAGATATTTGTAAGTAATATTTATTATCAAGTAATAAAACGCGACCCGATTATAGTGTTTTTTTTAATTGAAGTAAGGTAATTATGCTCTTTCAGTCTAATTTTGTTTAATTTATGCCGGCATATTTGCCCAAAATCCGGCAATCGATTTCTTAGATTAGTAGTCTGCAGAATAGACTTGTGCTAATGCACTGTCGGAGTGCTGTTGTTCAGGCAGGTGACCTATGCAGTGAGAGAAGATGTTTATTTAACCAGAAAACACTAGTTCATTTGCCAAGTAATTAAGATCCACTCTATTGGGGCATTTGGGAACCAATTGGAACGCGTAAATTTGGAGTGTAGAAGACGGAATTAGTCACTAGACTACAGTGTCATAATCTGAGAACCTAGTATCGGCCAGACAATGGACAAATCGGCGAATACCGATGGGTCACATCTTGGTGTGGGCTGTCGATGACGCATAATTGATATTGTATTTTTGATGCTCGGCAAACGTGTTGCTTCGCCCTCCTGTTGATGGTGTTCATTCTTTAACTTAAATTGAAATACATAATGGAGCTTTCCCTACATTAAGAGTTCGAGTTTGACAGACCAAGTAGATTGAACTCATACTATCATCTCCATGTAACAGTGTTACAGAAAACGTTAGTGTTTACATCAGTGAGGGTTGGAGGAGATTACCAAATTGAAAAGGGTGCAATTTAGGGCTTTCGTTTTTATGCAGGTTGCGTACGCATTATTGGTAGCCTCACATAAATAGTGCGTATCTGCTCGAGTACCATTTGAGTAGAGTTAATACCTTCCCTTCTGGACGGAAAGTTTTGGCTGAAAGCCTTGTACGTCTAAACCAAATAGTGCGTTGACAAAATTGGCTAAAATAATTAAAGCCTGACCCTCTATGCTTTTACGCAAAAGTATTCTTTAGTCCTATACTCAATTACAATACTTGGATTTCCAACCATGGGGCCGCAATGATGTCTGTATTGCCTTATTACTCAAACCTCTACCTGTCAAGGCTAGACGCGCGTAGAAGCACTTGTGCACTCACTCATGATCTTGTCAAAGTGACTCATAATCTGTCATCATATCTCCTCACCCACCCCACACACTGACTCGCGCCTGTCATTCGACTGCTCTTACGCTTTCGCCTCAACTCCTTTCATTCATCTCACCACATCAAAACACTCCAAATTGAAATTAATTTGTAAAATCTGCGTCTAATCCACTGACTCCTCAATTAGTGATCTTTGTTCTTGTTACTCCAACAGACTATTCTTCCTTCTAAGCTTTAAACATGCGAAAAGTATCAAATTACTTACGTCAAAGCTGACTCCGCATGATGGAGATCAATTTTCCAACCATCGACTTGGCTCTATACTGTTCAGCAGTCTCTTTTGTAGGGAGGACGATAATACCACAGAGAGAAGAAGTATGTGGATGAACGTAAACAACATCCTCTTTCTGAAAAAACTTCCATAAAAGTTCGGACAAATCAATTTCATCAATCTTCTGATTTCTTTGCATTTCATATTGCACATATTCCATCTGATACCCTAGTGTAACTTGGAATATGTTAGCAATTTTGTACTAAATATTAATAAATCATAAATTTTATTCAATGCTATTAAATTTAAATGTGTTTTCGACATTAATTTATTTCAAATGGCAGGTGTTTAGATAGTTGTCAACAGCTGTTTAGCTGACTTCGGGCTCCAGTGTGGGGAGAAATATAAAAGTGTGAAAAATTCGAGAGAGGGGCAGATGAGTGATTCGTAGATGGAAAAGAGATAGACAGATACAAAGGTTGAGGAAAAGGTAAGATAAGGTGAGTACTGTGAAAGTGGGCGATTATAACGTACAGTGGGGTGATGTTAGTTTGAAGTGAGAAGTCAACTTCCGGTTAATAGACTTTTTTGCCGTATGAGTATACGTTGCCCAGGGTGCTCTACGTGGAGGCAAGTCCATCGCACACCTCTGATCTTTGGCATTACTGCGGCAAAACTACTTCGACGATCACCCAGTAGACACAACTCACTGTGTTCTCCATTTATTGGAACTACTGCCAGCTGGTTGATCTTGCCATAGCCTCTACGATCTGGTTCGAATTCTTTTACTCCCACAAATTGGTAACCCCAATGTTCAGTGATCTTGTGAGCCTTCATTCTACTTCAAAACACGGATAGCTACATAATTAGATTAATAAGTTTCATCATTTCTAGAAAGTTCATTTCACTTAATCCCTTGTGTTCACGAATCTATCGCCCTTTCACCTGTCTCATACAATCTCAATCACTTTGGACAAAGAATAGCGTTTAACATATTGCGTTGTGTTTGAGAAAACCCCTTTTTGCGATTTATTATATCATAGTTGTAGCTGACAGATAGTTGATCGAGGATGGTGAAAAGCAATTTAATGTTGATACTCAATTCTAAATTAAGTAGAATACGAATTTGAATATTTTTAAGAGTATTTTGACGAGACCCAAGTTGAATCTGATTGCCTAAGCGTAATCCTTTCAGGACTATATCACTAATAATTCCAATAAATCAATTCGCTGAGTGCTTCTTAAATGTCACACTTATTCATCAATCAGTAAATTGAAGGCGAAGATATCTCTTTTGACCATAAGGCAGGCTAAACAAATGAAAGCAATGTTATCCGTTTCTAGACAGCAATCATAGAACCAATTCAAAGACGATAAAAAAAGAATCTAAGTGCTCGATCATTGGCGTTTCATGATGAAAGCACACGGTTTGGAAGTGTATTTCATTATAGATGAGCTTTATGTGCGAAATATCACACTGACATGCGTGATTTCGAAAGCTCTTCAATTCAACCTATGAGACGCAAATCAAAATGATTGGATTGTTTATCTGTGAAAGAGTTGACATGCAGTAAGTCTCCTTTTTCACAAAGCTGAGGTAAACTTTGGAATCTTTTTTTGACCTTCACGAATTAATTACAATTTGGCTGTGTTTATATCATTATATAATCTCGCATTGTGTTTGGCAGTTTTGCTTAAGGATGAAGGCCCATCAAAAGCCGAAACGGGGCTTCTTTGGAAGGCTATTATGTTGTTGCTCTTCCTTAAGCAATTCATCAGAAACGGTAAATTCATTTTTAATTTCAATTGTTTTGTATCTTATTTTGAACTTCAACAATTGAGTGACTTAAAAGGAAGAATGCGTGCAAATACACTCATTGACTAATTACCATCAACTGAGAAAATTTATGTCAAATGGCAGGCTTAATGATAATTACCATTAGTTCTTTAGCTGACTTCGGGCTTCACATAGAGGAGGTGGAGAAACAAAAGTTGAGAGGAGGAACTGAATAGTGATTCACAGATTGTTAGTGAAAAGGATAAGGTGAGTCGAGTACTGTGGAAGTGGCAGAATATGGCATACATTCAATTGTGCCATGGGAGTTTGAAGTTAGAAGTCAACTGTCAGTTTATAGACCTATTTGCTTTATGAGTATACATTGCCCAGTGTGCACCAATTGGAGATAAGTCTATTACGTACCCCTCAACAGAGAAATTAACGATTACAAATCATTCGTGTCAAATTCATTTTTTTGAAGTTGTATAATTTGATTGATTTAAGCATTCGTTGCCCAAATCACGTTTAGACGGAAGTTAGATTATTGATTAAATTTTTCTCAAATTTCAGATTCGCGACAGAAGAGCCTTTGCTAATACTACTTTGGCAAGAGAGTAAGTTGTGTAATATTAATAAGTTGACTCATAGTAAGGTAAATAAACTTTCTTCAGCAAATACCATTTTACTACTCTGAAACTCTAAAGATGATCAAATGACCAATTAGTTAACACTCAGTAGAATTTTAGATTAATCTTAAGATATGAAATTAAGTAATGATAAACTAGTGTAACTCTTTACTCCAAACCGGTGCCAAATCAGCCCAGATTCGTGGGGTACTTTAACTATACATTTACGAAAAGTCTCCAATTAAAAAATGTTAAATATGAATAAAAAAACTGTATCTAAGACTAGGCAAGTTACAAACTTTTTGGCAAATTATTTCAAACTTGTCATATATTTGTCATAATAGGCTAGATTGCAGAGTGGTTACACTGTATGGTTCTGGAGTAAAATCTGTCCTTTATTGCTCTAAATATCATTATCGAGTTATTGAATCATAACTTGTAAAAGATATTTTTTGTATTATTAGTAAAACTAGTCATCATTACTCTGCGATTGGCAGTGATGACGATGAAGATCCTGAAACTTCGATGTTCCAATCAACTGGAAAAGTAGTCGGAACAGGAGCATATAATTCGTGTTTTTATGAAGACTACACGGATTGGTTCTCTCAGTATGTACAATTATTTTTTATTTCGAATCTTATCTATCATTTTGTTTTCAAAACAACAATTTAAAACCCCATAGGTTTTACATTTTGAGGCTATAATATTTCCATCGGTTGAGTCAGAAATCAAAATTTTACTAGTTTTTCAATGGAGATTTGCTCCACTTATCATATAATGGCACCAAAAAACTCAAAACGCAACTCAATTTGAAATAATTCTAAAAGGTCTCCCTAATATGGTAATCGAATCGGGTGTGGCAACTTCTGATTGATTCTCAAATTTGACATATTCCAATAATTTTTCTACTTCCACACAATTTTCTAAAGCATTGATTGCATAAAGCACCGTAAGCAGCGTTTTGTGCATTTGAAATTGTGGTGAATGAGAGGTAAGTGAAAATTAATGCATTAAAAGCAAACATTGATTGGCGTAGCTTAATTTGTTCATCAGGATCGATAGTTTTCCCATTATTGTCTGATTGGCGCAATTTTGTACTTAACAGGAAGTAAAAGGGAACGATTTATAGTGAATTATCAAAGGATTGAGAAGATTTTTCGAATTCAAATGGATCCGATAGACCTTGGGATTAAGAATGCGGCATTGATACACTTTTTTAGGACACTTCTATCATGTTTCTCCTTACATAATCATTCATTAATCTGTATGTGAATTCTTGTACTTGTCGATTTCATGTTGATTCGTTTACGATTCCGAGTTCTTATCAATTTACACATGCTTTAAGGAGGCCCTATTTTAGCACACATTTAGAGCCATGATAAAATAGCATAACACCTCTGTCCACCAATGAAAAAAGACTCTCAGAATATATTGAAAAACGAAGGTCAAATTCTCCGTTTTACGATTTGCAGAGGAGCACAGATAAATATCGGTTTTCTGATTAGGGAATATCCCCACATTGTAGGTTTTACTTAAAGAACTATTGTCAATACACATTCCTGCATCTATCGTACACTAGGATTATCATATTTCTAGATGCCTGAAAAATAAAACATAATGCAAATTTCATCTTAATCAATCGCTGGCTATTCTCAGAACTAAGTCAGTCATTTTGACTTTTCGTTATAAATGAGTAATGCATAGCAATGTTTATATCATATGGCAGACGTTTTGATGGTCATCATTACCCCTTTGGTTAACTTCAGGCTTCATAGAGGGGATAGAACATCAAAGTGAGAAAAGTCGAGAAGTGGGGGGGGGGGACAGAAGAGCGTTTCAAAGATGAAGGCGGAAAAGGTAGAAAAAAGGTGAGGTGAGTACTGTGGATGAAGCCGAATATGACATACAGAGGCAGTTTTAAGTCAGGAGCCAACTGCCAGTTAATAGACTTTTTTGCCGTATGAGTATACATTGCCCAGGGTGCACCACGTGGAGGTAAGTCTATCGCACACCCCATGCATAGCAACGTAAAAAGGCGTGGCTTACATCTTCGTGTAGTTTTAAGCTATTCCTACAAATGATGTGTGGGTTCTTTCTAACACATTATGAGATCTTGACCCCATTGATGCTCCACCATGATCTCCAAATAAATCTAATATTGTCAAGTCAAGAGTCTTATCTGTCAAACCTTATCCAAACAAGGGTGGGTATCAAGAAGTATTTCTATCGATTTGGAAAAGTAATAGCATTTCGTAAGAGCAGAAACAGTGGATAAGCCATCATCGATAGGATAGTCCAAGGTCAAACGGCTCTGGACATGTCTGATCATGATATTTACAAATGGTAAAGTAAACATAGCCCCGCTATTCGCGAGTTGTCTTCGTCTGGGTAAGATTGTTTTAATTTTAAATCAACCGTCAACATTACTCCAAATCACGAACCCGTTAAAGCCTACGCGAAAATTTTCGGCCACTTTTCGTATAATAATAGATTTGGGAGCAGCTTGTTGTGTCCCCCCCCCCAATCCCCCAATTGGAGTTGTGAGGTTGAGAAATCCTGGATTAAATTTATACCACCTGGACGCTTGGAATAAATTAGACAACCATCGTAATTTTATCGTGAGTGTCAGCAATGTGACATCCAAATTTTTAACCCATAGGCAAATCCAAAAATAGCATTTCAGGAAGAATTCACATTCTGAACAGGAGCATATTTCATTTATATTATCGACCATCTATTGCATTATTTAGTATATATTTATTTATTCCAAATGTCAGGCTTTTATGATAGTTATCATTAGTCCTTTTGTTCACTTCTGGCTTCACAGAGTGAGGGAGCATCAAAGTCACAGAAAATCGAGAGGGGGAACAGAATAGTGATTCACAGGTGTAAAAGAGTCGGACAGACACAAAGGTAGAGAAGTAGGCAAGGTAAGTACTGTGAAGTGAGCGATTATAACATACAGTGGGGTGATGGTAGTTTGAAGTCAGAAGTCGACTGTCAGTTAATAGACTTTTTTACCGTAGGAGCATACGCTACCCAGTGAGCAACACGTGGAGATATGTCTATCGCACATAAACAGTTGATTGAAATTTCACAGTGGATCGGGTGGCTATAGAAATCGATATAGTCAAATAATTTCGCTCAAAAATCATTTTTTTGCCATTTCAGCACATGTAGCACTCTAACAAAGCTCGAGTTATAATCTTACAGCCCGTCGTGATCATTTTCAATTGCTTTCCATGAAAGGTTGCTTGAGTGGCAACGACGCATTACTTGTAAAGGCTAGAGAAAAATTCATTCTTAAGTTACGAATGACGTTCTAATACTTTTATTATAAGATTTAAAGTGATTGGAACTTTGACGGTGAGAAGTCTTGGTGGTCGCTGCACCCGGTGAACAAGTAGCCACGTTAAGGTAAAGAATTAGAGGCATTTTCGAGTCACAATTTTCGTTCGAAATAACAGAGACGAAACTCAACATTTCTTGCCTAATTTGGCTAAAACACGTTCGGTTTTGTAACTGATGACCCATAAAAGACTGAGAGTTAAGAGACCTGATGAGATTGGCGTTTTTACGTTTGTCGCAAGCTTTCCCAGAAGTATTCGGAAAAATAAATCTTCAACGGACACGTCTCCACGTCTGCAAAATTATAAGATTCGCTTTCTCCCAGTATAATTAATATAGGTTAATACAACGAAATATATATGCACTAATACAATCTCAACCCCTTTTATCGTTATATTAACTTTTCGATTCCAGCCCTATTAAGGCCGCTACACAAGACGCTAAAAGTGAAGTTATTCAGATTCAAGCGCTAATGAAGACTTCTAAAGCTCCCTTTCCGCCAATCAGCAAAATTCAGCAGCACTTTGAGCAGTATGGAAAAGTTGTGGAGGTAATCAGGACAACATTTCCTACCGCGAAGGTTTTTTTCCGAACTGTCAAAGAAGCCGAAATAGCTCTAACAGCACCAGAGCATGTCATAAATGGGTGCAAATTTCAACTTATCTCCTGCAAACGTCGGAATCTGTACGTTTAAAACATCTCATTAATAAACTCGTTTCACTTAAGTAACCTACGTGGAGAGGTGTTTTTAGATGTATCTATTTCAAAACATTGGATAAGGAAACCAAGGCTCCGACTCCTTCAAGTCAAGCTCTGCAGGAGCACTTCGAAAGATTTGGTAATATTAAATCATTCAGTAGGAATCATAATAAAAGGATCGGCTTCGTTACCTTTGAGACCAGTGAAGGAGCACGTAAGGTAATATCGACCTCACAGCATTTCGTGGATGAATGCGAACTCAAGGTTACTATTTCGAAAAGTGACCCATTTAAACAAAGGTAATTTCCCGGTTTTATTTTAGCATTTTTGCCATTTTTCTAAATTGCAAACTTCTTTAGTATTATCTAAAAATGCTGTTAGAAGAAATACTAATGACAAATGTAAGATTAAAGACTATGGTTATGCTCTGTTTTATTTAATTAAATTGGTGAATGATCTATGTCGTTTGATTTAATATCCTATTAGTAGATTGTTAGAATTGGTAGGTGCATGGGAAAATAAAAGCGGAAAAGGTAAAAGACTAGGATAAATAGGTGATAAATCTGTATTAAATGCAAAGTTTTCTTTCTTAGTGTTCGAATGAAAGGTTCTTTGCCCAAAGAAGGAACTCGAGAAAAAGTCTTGAAGTTTCAGGCTTATCCAAGAAAATCGAATGCTCCCTGTCCACCTCCCAAGGTTATTGAACGATATTTTCGGAATCTCGGGCGACTGTTAGATTTCCAATGGCATCCCCAAAGCTGTTCAGGTCTTTTAACCTTTCCCAGTCTCGATTCAGATCGAATAGCATTTTATTATCCAAAGCACCTGATCGATGGATGCATAATAACTCTCAGTCCCTGCAAAGGACGTTCTGTGTGAGATGTTTTCCTTTTTTTAATCGATAACTTATCGATTTTCAAACATTCTCAAATTTCGTAACTCTTTACTGTATTGTATTCAATTGACATATTAAAAATTATTAATTTTCTTTTATTGTGAGAGCATTTAAATCTTCTATTAGGAGAAAAGAGGGAGGTCATTTTGGGATCTTTTAGCCTTAAAATCAATTTTAAAATCCGTTCCTTGGCTTTCTTAAAATCTGCCCTCTGGACACTGTCTATCATGCAAGATCATGCTGCCTCTTTCCTCTTCGAGAAAAGGACTAAATGAATTGAAGTGGCTTGATCGACTATCGTAATTAAAACTGATCAATGGGTACTGAAATTTTGAACAGAAATTCGATCGGCAATCAAGGGGTTGGAATTTAACTCTGAACCTGAACAACTCATTAAGTGAAATCGAAGATCAAATTAAAGAACTTGTTCATGACTCACTATCGACTTCCTACCCACGTCCTTTAATTGGCTTTACTAATTCAACTTCTTTTATGCCTCTACGATACAATAAACGTGTTAGATTCTTCTACATTTGGTAATAAAATTAATTATCGCTTTGCTGAATTATCTTGCGAGACTTAGCAAAGCAGTGCTGAATGAATTATTGCTTTAGCACGGTAAATAAAATGTTCTAGCCTTCTGAAAAAGGAAAATAAAATGTCAAAAAACTTATACATAAATTCAATCATGAGCTCAATTAAAAGTGCCTTTTCTCATCTATTAAGTAAACGCGGTTCCAACGAACACAAGAAATTGTCGAATATTCAATGCAAATATACCGCTTGCCAGCCTTTGCTGAAACGATAGAAAAAACCAGCCCTTCTTTTAAAAGAGACAATAAAAATTATTACAGTCGTTTTGGGCTTGTTAATATCCTTCATCCGAATGTCAGGTATCCGAATTCGTAGGGCTCCGACGAATTCAATACCCCCCCCCCCTCATTCAGTGATCACAAATTCGAATAGTGCTTGATAAACTTAAATCCAAAGAAGAGTGTACCTGATTTTGATAAATTGAAACTTTATTACGAATGCCTAGTCTATCTATTGAAATCATTTTTCTTAAAATCCATGGTAAATTGCGTAGATAAACGATTATTTTACTAACAAATAAATAATTAGCTTCAGCGTGATAATTCAATAATTCTGTGTTTATTTAAATTAGTTATTAATTCTCTTAATATAAATCCGGGCGAAGAAATTTATTGTGCCTGGGCAGTCGGACTCATAGTCCCTCGGTTGCTTTCTGTACTGTGTGCCTTCTGACTCAATGTTTAACTAAATCGTCAATGAACAATGGATGCTAACTTTGGTAACTGTTCTATCTTTCTCACTTCGATCCTTCCGCAAAATCCGAATTGCTAACCTCCAGAACCGGCATCGTTCGCTTTATTTCCAATTACCAATTATCCTCCAAAATAAGCTCTGTCGTTCCAGTCAGTACAGGCATTTGTCTTATGAAGGTCGCAAGCACTAAGTGAGGTTATCTAGATTAATATGTTCTGCCTCTTGAAGTTAATTTTCTGTCGAAGTTGACTTGCTTTATTGGCAGGTATATGACCCATTCGCTTAAAGACTACGACATCATAAAGTAAAAAATGTGTCGGTTTCAGTATCTTAACGTTTTATCCGCTATTAATTTCAGTAATAACATTTAAATTATGAACATAGAAACTGTGCGTATGGCGTTTACATAGGCAGCCAAAAAACCCTTAAAGTTGAAACAATATGTTTAATCGGTTATACCACTATAGATAGTTCTCCTTCGTTAATGGAAATAATTGTTACTAATATATTTATAAGGGTTCATGATTTTGAATAAGAATAAATTTATAATATGTATATATAATTTAAAGTTTGCTTAAAAGATGCTACTATTGATTCAATTTTAAAAGCTTTTAAGATAAGAAAGACAGATTCAAAATTATTTTAGCCACCAAATTAATATTTCAACAATAATAAAAATGCCTCGTCCCCTCATTGTCAGATTCTAAATCAAAATTTTCAGCCCACATGGTTCTAAAGCCTTTTAATAAAACAACATCAGTATACATATAATTGTACTGTTCTAAATCTTGGTGTTAATAATGTTAATGTTTCTTCGTTTGTTCGTGTAAAGCTTGTACTCTATAGGCATGAAATTGCAAAAATGTGGATGTTTGATAAAATTTGTCAACTTCATTAGTTAAGCTAAAATCTTCAGTCGTCATCACTTCAACTTAGCCATAACTAAGAATCGTAATCCAGTATCTAAGCAATACATATCGCTACAACTCTGTATTGATGTACATTTATTACAACATTACGTTTGCATATATATATATATATATATATATATAATGTAATATAATATAAAAAATATAACTATAAAATTAGGTGCTCATTCAATGTCTTTTGGTACGCTACATGAGAACGAGCATAATGGCGGCTTCTCGTAAGTACGACCAAGTTACACATTCTGATTCCCATTAAAGTTGAGAGCTTCGAGTTGCGTTATACTTCCTGCTCCGGTATTCATTGAATGCAAAGTCCTCCATAAACGTTATTCCAAGTAATTTCTAAGTTCCTTTAAAGAGTGATTTCAAATGAGATTTTCCCATTAAATAAACCGTTAGTTTCAAAAAAACTATTTTTGATACATCGCATGCCAGCAAAATAGCTAAGTAGTGGTTTTCGAGATCTTATCGCCAGTCAGTCATTAACAATTGCAAGATATAAACAAGCATCTCATATGCTTAGCACACACGAATTTAAATTGTGCTATCTATCTGAATGAGGCAATAAGTATGAAGTCCTAATGATGGACAATGCATGCAGTTACATGTATTGTCACGGGCGGCAATACTTGTGACGCCAATATAAAAATTTTGAATATATTTATGTTTATTGGTTAACTGTCATAAAGTATTAAGTAAAGACAAAGAATCTAAAAAAAAACATAAAAGACCATTTTGAGAGTAATCTTTTACAAATATAGAATGTAATCGTAAAACTTTTAAAATATCTGCTCTTTTGCCTTCTGATTACTTTTTGTAAGTTCGACGAAAAATATCGAACACTTGAAAATATCAAATGGATAATCAGAACTTTTCCAAGTATTTTTAGCTTGAATATTTAGAGTCTAGATAATAAAAATTGCTGCATGTATAGGCTTCAACATTTTTTAGCTTTATTCGTGCTATATTTAAAGACCGGTGGCAATATCGGAATAATTTATCTGTTTCATAAGTATGCATTTTCCGAAAATTTATAAATCTAAATTATCTTAAATTTATAAGAAAGTTAACCTATATATATCCCACTGACTGCCATTTAATTATCCATCACAGTTAGGGACCATTAGTTTCAATTCACTTGTTCTCATAATTTAGGATATAGATAAAAAGCAGATTAATAAAGAAATAATGCGAATGCTTCAAGCGTAACTGAGTACTTTTCATTTCAAATTCAAAAGAAATAACTTACACTAGAAGTTATTTCATGTGAAATAATGAGAAAAAAGAGAAAATATTGTCTTATACAGGTATTTGCCTTTTACATCAATTTTAAACTTATTCGATATTTTCAAGTTCAAAAGTTATTGGCAAAACCAACAAATAACGGAGCGTTCATGGATTTTGTAATAAAATAAAGAAATTTACTCTTAATTGATATTTGGCATGATATGAGAAGGAAGGGGCCACAATCAAATTTAATACATATTGAAAACACACAATTCATTCAGTAACATTAATCTTTACAAATAGTTGGCAGGATGCAATACAATATCATATACCATTGTATGCATTTAAAATATTTTTTTATTACGCAAATCTTCATGCTTTAATTTAGGTAGCAAATATTCTAGTGGAAGTTTGGAAATTCAATGGGCAGCAAAATCATTGAGAAAGTTGACAAAATGTGACACGCTGTATTTTGAGTAATAATATTCAATATACTATGCCATATGCATATGAGAAAAGTAATAAATGTATCCACCTGGAGGTAAAAGATTGAAAATAACTCAATGTTAAACAATTTAATCAAACGTTTAATAAATCATACAGCCCTGTTTTAATAAAAAATCGAATTTTTATAAAAAAACTTGACGATGCAAGTAAACTTAAAATGATTTTAGACAAATTAAATAATATACGTAGTACTCTACTTTTAATTCTATTATAGACCTTTTTATTAAAAAAAATTGAATGAATTTGTTTTTGTTGATTGAAAGGGAATAGCGGTCACTTTTTGTGCTTGGTCTATCTGAGCGTGTGCGTATTCTAAAATGCTTATTCCTGTCGCTGTCCGCAAATCTATTTATGAATATCTTCTAAATGAAGGTGTAATGACGGCTATTGAGGATCCCCGACCTAAAGTTCTCCATCCGGCTGTCAAGGTGAGGAACTTATACGTTATGAACGTATTGAAATCCCTCGCTTCACGTGGTTATGTACGTAAACGGTTCGCCTGGAGGACTTACTACTGGTTCCTCACCAATGAAGGAATTGATTATCTGCGCGAGGTAAAATTTTTCAACAGTTAAATAAGTCTCTAGGTCCTTCACCTTCCCACGGAAATCGTTCCATTTACCCTTAACAAGCCAACTATTGATACCGCTAGACTTGGAATGACAGGTCCATCTGGACCCAGAATGCCAAATGATGGCCGAGGTGCCTATCGTTGTGGCGCTGTGGGAGCACCTGAGACTGGCAAAGATGCCCCCGTTGTTCCCGAAGGCGAAATTAATTTTCGTGGTTAAGTCGTTGTAAATTATGCAAAGAAATTAATAAATTCTTTTGGAAACCAAATTTTTTCTAAATTTTTATATTGCAAATATGACAAATGTATCTTTTATTGGATATTGCGTTTTTTGATTGCATAATAATGGGTGTCAACTGTTTTATATTTCTATTTATCGGATTTGGTAGTCTAATATTTTAGGCCAATTGTAAGGTAGCCTTTGAACTTCATATTGACTTTTTTCCGCCACGTTTTAATGTCAGTTCTTGAACTATACTTGTGATTTGCCAATGAAAACAGGCTGCGTCTTATGTCGGCTTTTCGCGTTATTTAACATGCAAAATTATTTTTTACTGTTCTGAGTGAATGTAGTACTTTTCATTTTGCAACTCCGATCATTTTTTTATCAGTTTTTATTTTTTATGCACATTTCAGTGCTTGTGTTGTTTGTTTCGGTCCCATTAGTTGTAGGGTGAATGCGTTGGGGTTTGTCTATGAGGCTGTTTGGTTTATATTTCGCCATTCTGAACAAGAACGAATCTTGTTTGCCTTTTCTGTCTAATGAAATCTTTCTACTTAATTTATATTATGTATCCTTATGTTGAATTCATGTTTCTTGTGTTTTTTGGTTACTAGATGGGGACATCTGAGTTATTATGTAGTTTGCCTTGGTTATATGTGTCTAGCAAGGTTGCTAAAATATTTCTTTGGAAGATGCCGCCATTCTTGTGTTTATTGGGTTTCGCGTGTCGGCTAATAGCAAGTCCTTGATATTGATGTTCTTTTCACAAGCTGTTTCAACTACAGCAATTAGGCTTCTGTAAACTTCGTCTATACCGGACCAGTTGAATCCCTTGTCTGTTTTCCAACTGAGATTTTGGATCGTAGATTAGGTTACTTTCATTTAATACTTTAGTTCTTTTGGCGTTCCTATTAGCAAATTAACTATCAATTCCCTTCTTTCCGGTGATAACATGAGCTTTACTTCCATTTCTAAGCTCATCTCAATCTTTATGGCTGGTTGTAAAAGTATGCTTCTTTCTATCGGTACCAACCCATTCTGACAAACGAATCAAAGAATGTCAGTAGCTTAATTTGAAAAAGTTGATTTTTTGCTGGCATGTCTATGGTGCTTTGTTGTTCATTTCAAAATCCTATTACAAAATCACAGCAAGCGCTCATAGTGTTCGGTGAATGTAGATATACAGAATAAGCTTCAATGAAGGAAAGGAATATGTAAATTTCAAAGAATTGGGTGCTGTTAGTTGTGTCTGTGTACAGGAGGTTATTTTGTCGTTGATGATTGCTCTCTTTCACCTATCTATGCATATCTCCATAGGCTGATATCGGAGGACTGTGAAGGGAAGATGGGCTTTGTGGTGGAATATTAGTGATCTTCAAGGGTCTCTCCTCCGGATTAGCGGGCTTTGGGTTCTCCGCTCCATTTTTCCCACGTTGAAAGCGCTTCTTAAATTTTTTCCTCTCAAAGAACTTGGCCTGCAATGCAATAGAGCGGTTTGACTTAATGCCACCAATAGCGCTATTGGCATCAGAATAAGAACGTACCTTCCACAAGATGATTATTAGAATAGCAAGAAGTAGGAGCCCCGCAAATACAGCTAGACCGATGTACAGAGGCATGTTTTTTGGATAAACTGGTTCGAGTTCCATGTGGTTAAATATTTTGAGCTCAAACTAAGCAATAGAAAAAAGGCTGTTTATATATGTATACTCCTTTAATATTGGTTTAGTTTTGCTATATACCATGCCAGTGAAAATCAGTGAGATAAGCTAACTAGCAAATCATGCTGCTAAAAATGCATCCGATCGAATGGAAGATAGCAAGCATACCTGATTGGGCTGAGTCAAGCCCAGACAGTTTTCCGGGTACAAGTCATATACCTGTATGATTAAAGGTAGATAGCCGGGCATGAACAAACCAACTTTGGGAGGTTGTGTAGTTTGGAAATGAATGCAAATGTGGTTTGATTGAAATCAACCTCATAGAATCTAAGTCCTGTTATTCCCGAGCACTCTGATTAGGTTTGTTATTCATGTTGAATAAATGTCTATTTATTCTATCAAACAATTGATAGTAACATTTCTATTGGGATTCTCTGTGTTATCCATTTCAATGTATCGAAACCAATAATAACTTTGCACTCATGTGTGCGTCATTTAAACATCGCTACGAATTCAGCAAGGCATGAGTGTCATTGCTCTGGTGATTTAACACTTGTTAGTCGCTTGCTACATTGTTCTGAAATTCTTGAAAGTCAAAATGCTCCCTACGGTTGAGGTTTCAATTGACCACTCAACTCATCATTCAATATTGACTCATAAGCACGCTTGAGGCTTCTTTTGTTTCCTTCGCTTAGAAACTCCTAATCAGCCACTCCTCTAGTAACCAGCGTCAAGTGGTACGGTTAGTTGCATCAACCAATGAATATCGAAATCAAAAACCGAAATTGTACGTTGAGCGTTATTGATGATATTGAACAACATTCCTTAGTCATTCAAATATTAATCTCAAGTTCCGATCGTCCCAATACAAGCAATCAACCGTTTTGTTTTAGCAGATTTCATTAGGGGATGGTTACTCGCTTTGGTGAACTCACATCATCCGAAGCATACTCCTTGTCCCCCGCATCAATGGTATATGAAACACTTGCTCTCCAAGTTGCTGTCATTTGAACAGAGGTTAGAAAAATGTCCTTGAAATCCTGCAGGAGATTATAATAAAAAAGCGAATCTTCTTTATCCAAAATCTCTTAATTCTTGTTTAAGCAAAGGTCACTAGCCTGTCGCATTGTATTATCCCAAAGTCGGGCGGGCATTTCAAAGGTAATTACACCAGCTCGATACGAAAGAGGTCCAAGGTCACACACTATCGGTACGCATCGTAGCTGACCATTGTAGCATGTCTGAAGCAAGTGGAAATCTATTAGCCACCATATTGCCCTAGTTAACATGCACGTACTAATGAAGCTCTTAACTTACTAGGTTAGTTTTGATACGCTTGACGTCGCCTTGGTATGGCATTTTCTCCAATTCAAGCTGGGATTTAAGTGGAGGATATTCTGATGGATGATTCAACGGAAGATCAATGGGAGCCGTCGCAACTGGTTCACCTCGAGGCTGGGGCATAAGAGATTTGAACACCTGAATGATAAAGTAATATTGGCAACACGTTCTACTAAGTAAATATAAGTAGACATGTATTAGCTAAATTACCCGGTAGTTGTAGGGATTCACCAATTTATCTAATGCCCTCGAGTCGCATGTGATTGTGGAGTTCGATGTTGAAGGAAGGTCCGTTTTGGTTACATAAGGCTTTTCAAGAAGGTAGAAGAGGTACTTTCCATTGTCTTCATCAACTAGATCCGCGATTTCGTGCGGCCAATCGATAACCAGCCGTGAGTTGGGAATCAGGCTGTGTTTCCGCAAGTTTTGGATCTACAATTAGGAGGCAATAAACTCACGGTACCAATGTATAGACCAAGAAAAAAGAAGAAATTTTGCACTCACGCGGACTCTAACTAAGAGACGAGTTGAGCCGATTTTGTTTTCACCATTATTTGCCAAAATACCGTCGGTAACATTCCCGAAGTAGTAAGCAGCGTCTGGTAAAATTTCCCTGAAAGAGGTCAATAGCGTTAATTTGCAGCCCGTTCACCTTCTAAGAGAGAGTACCTTCATACAACGCAACTTACCCCGTTACTGATACATTGACACTCATTTTCACCTTTATAGTAATAGAATCCGAGAGTGGTGCCAGAGCTTTCGGAGGGAACTTTGGACTCCTGGAAAACGAACGATGTATCGAAAATTGTAAAGGAAAAAAAACAAACAAACAATGAAGTGGCCAACAACGTTATTGCCTTTGAAGATAAATCATAGTCCCCTCGTATGATTATAATTTGATTGAACAGTGAGATGATTTAGTCCTAACGACATACTATTTGAGCCACTGATTAAAGCAGCTTTAATCATCTTTAAATAGTCATAAAATGTAGCGTCACTTCATGAAATAATTTGTCGTTAATTGCTGTGATGACATAATCGAATTGTTGTGGTGTCGAATGATATCGGTTAGACTGTTACGCTAAGGGCTAATTAACATGGCTGCATCTCCAGGCAGGAAATGCCCAGTCACTTCCTATTAGTCGTGGAAAACGACAAAAAGGAGATAAATATTTCGACCTTCTTGCTCGGGTTGATAGTCCAATAGCATGCCTTGCCATATTCTCTAATGTGTTAAAACTCGAGTAAGATAATCGTTCATTTCAGTTTGAATTGTTACGAATTAATTGGGTAAAATCTTTCATGATACTACAATCCTGAAAATTCAAATGGATATTGTTTTTCCTTTTATTAGACGATTTCGATAATAAGAGGTTCACTATTTCATATAATCAAACGGATTTTGTAGCAACTTTGGTACTTCCCCTATAGTTTATTCAAAATGGTTACTAGTTAATCCTAATCGATGTTTTGTTTTTCATGAAACTATAATTAACCTGCTACTAAATGGTAACAATTTGACTAATTATGTCGCCACATCTCAGTAGCTATTATTTCTGAGTTTAACCTTTCCAATATTATTTACCACATTTTGAAAAAATTAGACTCCGTTTATAACTTATTTTTACAACTAATGAAACGGAATTGGGAGTTGTTTTTGAAATTTGGCTTCCAAGAAAACACCCAGCAACTCCAACGCTTGAGAACATGGATTCCCCAAACACTTCAACCAATGGTAGAGATACAAGCTATATCAGTGTTTGTCATTGGATAATATTGATTCCCTCTCCTTTGATTGGATATTGAGTAAACTAATAGTAAGATTGGTCACTCAACCACGACCGATTGTTTACCTGCATTAGCGCCAGCTACACTTTTAGTATAAAAAGTGTTTGTGAAATATAATTCATAGAATCCTTGATACTTAATTTGCTTTTAAGTCAAACTGTCCTAAGAACGCAAAGGGGACATTTCAAATTGACTAAAATAATGATTTACACCGCAAGCTAAGATCACTTTCAACGTAAAATTGGTTCAATATATTAGTATTATGGGCAATTGGTATCAGTTTTCTTAATTTCTCTTCACAATTAACAATTTTTGATTACCTTTTTATGAAACTTAACATTAGACGACGTCGTAGCTCTTTCGATAGATATTGTCTCGGATTACAATTAAAGCTACTTGTTAATATAACCCCAGTTCTGACATTTAAGGTGAGAGTTTATTCTGATTCATTAAATTAACTTACACCAACCGCTGCAACCGCTGAAATATAAGCTTCCCATGAGAAATAAAAAGCTTAGTGTCGGTACAAATTAGGATCCAATTTCATCAATCAATTTCTTTCGGGGGAGGGGGGACACTTTTATTGCTCTATAATCACCAGAGGCGTTTAGGAGATGATTATCTTCCTATCCTTCTATTTTATTAGTCACATAAATGTGCGATGTGTACATATCAAGTTCTTACATGCTAGCTCTAATAATCTGATCTAAATCAAAGATTGCATTATAGTTAAATGGTCATAAGTGCTAATGCGCATTGGTAAGCTAATTAGAATGGCAGTTCTCACTAACAACTTATTCGCTGTTCTGCTAATTCTAGTATCCAACTCAAATAGACACATCTAATTCCATTACCGTCTTCTAACTTTGGCAACTTAGTGGCTCCAGAAGGTGCCTTAATCCTTTTAAATTATAAGGCTTGGAGCTTAATAAAATTAGTCAGTAGTCAGAAGTGCTAAACGACGTCAGAAAAGTTAGACTTCACATTCAACAAATTATTAACAATCGCCATGTGAACAGCACTTACGAGGATATGGTACTATTGATTGTGAAGTTTTTGGAAGCCTTCAAGAGCTGCTGTCCGAGGACATTGAAACGAAGAACACATGTGGCCTCTTGTCGCTGTGGCAGAGGGTTGCCAAAGTGACATAAGGCTAAACCAGGTTTCACGGAAATAGTTCGCTGTTTCTAGGAAAATACACGAGAGGCAGAAACAAGATAATTTTTGCCATTTATGCCGGCATAATCAATAATCAATCAAACAATATAAACTCAAGTATTTATGTGAAAAGATTGGGAAAATTTATGGATTAGATTAAGAACTTCAAGAATTTTAGAAATATGACATCAAAATGAAATGAAATAAAATTCAAAATTTTGCAAATACAAGAGCAGTATTGCGTCACTTTGATTGGTCTATCTAATGGAGTTTAATTTGTTCAAACACGTGAACCACGTGTTGCCGTGTAAATATGGACATTAGCCCAGTCACGACAATAGCAGGATTTCAGGTAAAAGAATTGAGATAATAACGTAACCAGGAGAAGGATCGGTTGGAATGAGAGCAAACACGGCGTGAACATTAGTATCAGGACTAATCATCTCCACTCGTAGTCTTCCGGCCAATGTGCTTGTGACAACAGGAGCGGAGATTCAAATCTTTGTTGTGCAAGATTGAACCGCGACGTTCGTTGCATCAGATTGCTCATTTCTATCAACTATACTTCCACCCGCCCCCCCCCCTCCCCCCTTTCTCCAACCAACTCATATCTGATCCAATTTGCATTTAACTTTTCATACAAGTAACGATAATTTCTCAAAATTGTGCTCTATTGGGTATTTGATGTGAGGGCACCATTATGAATGTTACAACACGAATGCCCCTCCCCTTTTCTGCAAATCTGAATTATTCAGTGCTCACCCAATTTCACATAATCTAAAAGTTGGGTTACTCGGACTTCAATATCAGCTCATGGGTGCGCGATAGATTTACCTCTACGTGGTGCACCCTGGGCAACGTATGCTCATGCGGCGAAAATTCAACCAACCGGCAGCTGATTTCAAGAAACCATGGCCCGACTATGTCATATTCGAGCACTTCCACAATACTCGCCTTACCTTTTTCTCTCTACATTATTGTCTGTCTCTTTCACATCTGTGAATCATTCTTCCGTTCCCAATCTCCACTTTTTCGCGCTTTGATGTTCTTCCCTCCCCCCCCCCCCTCCCCACATTTTTCCCTATTGGACTCGTATGTTATCCACGGTATTTTAATGCTGTAGCACGATTATCTTGTGATGTACCATGAGCAATACCACTATTACCCTAACATTATAGCATAAAATCCAAAAGGTAGAGAGTGAAAAAGATGAAATCTAATGACTGCATTACCTGTCTGTTACCCATGCTAATCAAATTACTTTCTATTATTTAATTCTGTGAAGTTTGTGACTGGTGTATCGTGGATACTACTTCTAAGTAGTGCGAATAGGGAGGTATAAGAGTCCACTTGGAGTGAATTTTTGTGAGCACTGCTATGTTGTATTGAATTAAACTCTTATTAGCACGTAACCTAAACCGACAGGTGATAATTACACGATTAGCCATTCAGGTGCATGGCGGATGATTACCGGTATTTAGGATTCCACATTTTAGAGCAGGAACCCGAAAATTACTTGAACTATAATATATTTGGCCATCTCATTTTAATCAGAACTTCCACCCGTTCCCAACCACTTACTGAACTAGGTTAGTTTATCTACACGAGAGCGGAGGGGGGGGGAGGGAGAGAAAGAGAAAACAAAAAAATCGATTTATTGATTGATAAGGCAAATAACTCACGCTGTCACGAGAAAAAGTATTGAGATCAAGTAGGGACTCCGGATAGGAGGTATAGATGCTGGTGGCGTAGCTAGGGCTTGAACCCCTATTGGTCACTGTGGCTCGAATTTCAATTGTTTGGTACTCGTCATCGCCGACAAACACCACAGGGCCGTCCTTATCTCTGTTTAACAAGACAAATATGCAAAGGTTAGATGCCTAAATTACTGCAATCTTAGTCGGATTCATTAATTATTGATCAGATTCTTACCTAGTTACAATGTACTCAAATTTCGGAAGTAATATTGGATTACATGGGCTTATTTGGCACTCATTGCTAAATGTGATCTAGATGTGAAAACAGCCCCCTGAGTTCCACGTGAGTGATATTTTACAAGGCAAGTGGTCGGTTCTTATACTTACCTCTGATTCACCAGTGTTTTCAATCGGATTGTTGATTGGATAGTTCATGAGGTTAGCGTTGGGCGAAGTTGGAGAAGGAACATCCAGTATCCACTTGACTCCAAAGCGAAGAGGTGAAGAGAGATCCAACATATTCACATCCTATGGGAGTAGGGAATTGAAATTCATTAAATTGGTATCATACATGCAAACATTTTCATTGTACTTTAAGGTACGATCGTGAGAATGGCTAATTGTACAGATTTGGCCCAAAGTTGAGACGAAATCGCAGAGCGGAAAACCCTCGGGTCCAGTCATCTGATTGGGGAAGTACAAAGGCCATAGCTACTGAGGTCATGTTTTGTCTTGGGATGAGCATTCCCTTTATCAAGACGCTTGCGTCATCGGCCCTGACAGCGTGATAGATACTTGACGATGAAGGCAAGACGGTATTTCGGTCTCCTTACATGAATGAAAACTAGTATTCTTATAAAGCACCTTCACTTTACTGATAAAGTGTCTTAATTTAACTACACGACTTTATTCTTAGACGAAATGTACTTTACAAAAATAGCATTACGGTAAGTGGTTTGGATTGTTTAAATGGCGGTTCCAGTTTTGTTAATATTACAAAGTAACAAGACAAGGAGGCGGGAACTTTTTTCTTTAGGTTAAATTTAGGAGACAATTGTACTCGGAAGGGCATGATGACTTACTAAAAGCCAAATTGCGTTCAGTCTGTGTCCACATAACTTTGCTATTGATTTATACATTAAAATAACATCTATTTATGTATACTGACTTCAAAATTTATTTAGAATAGTTATTTCCAATAATCATCTCTCTTGATAGAGGCAAAGCAATGTGTAGCTCTACTGGTGAGAAGCCTAAAGTCTGTCAGACTCAAATTCTGTCCCAACCAGTAGGGTTAATAAATGTGGTGACTGTGCACTTCAACGGATATTGATTTCGCGACTAGATAAATTTGTTCATATGAATGACAAATGAGCCAATGACATTGAGGTCGGGGAAGAGAAAGAAAATTCTTAGTGAAACGATTTCATGACTCCAATACCTTCAATAACCACCATTTCAGAATGTTAATAGAGGTATAACTCGATGATTTTTAAAACCTAAAAGAAAAATGTCATCAAAATATCCAACATCAGGTCAAAAGCACATTAACAGCTTCAGACAAAGCTATGGATACAATTCCTCTTCTTATATTGAAACTGTGGGGTGTGCAATAGACTAACCTCCACGTGGTGCACCCTGGGCAACGTATACTCATACGGTAAAAAAGTCTATTAACTGGCAGTTGGCTTCAAACTACCATGACCCCGCTGTATGTCATATTTGAATACTTTCACATTACTCGCCTCACCTTTTTTTCTATCTTTGTGTCTGTCTCTTTTACATCTTTGAAACACTCTTCTATTCCACCACCCCCCTCCCCCCGCCTCTCGATTTTTTTCACTCTGATGTTCCTCCTTCCCTCTGTGAAGCCCGAAGTCAGTTAAGGGGCTAACGATAACCATCAAAACGCCTGCCATTTGATATAAATAAATACTCTCAATAACCACACAAATCGAACGCAAAGGGGTATGCAAAACCGAATCCCAGTGTGATGATTCGATTTGTGGTGTTTATATTAGGGCAAAAAAAATCCTGCCGTACTTCTTTCGTTAATATCCCAATTGGCAGACAAAAGAAGTGGATTTTAAATGATTACAGGGTGGGGAAGGGTTGGGGTAGCTAATGCATTAAAAGCAGTAAATGATACCTGCAATTTGGCACTAGTGAAATTACTAGATGGGGCAAATTTGAACTCTACGCATGATTATTCAGTTTTGCAAAAGACCTGCCATAACAAGAATACTGTTTGCCTATTTTTAACACAGAATTAACCTTGTTTGACACATGCCTTTACTAAATGCTACTAAAGTTCTAGCCAAAATTTGGCAGTAAATTATACGTCCCTGCATTAAACTTTTCCGTCATTTTATTAAGCTCAATTACTTGCCAGTTTTGAGACAAATATAGGCGTCTATATGAATTCAATAAATGAAAGCGTTGACTACTGTTTTCAATCATTTGAAAGTGTAATCATTACAACTTTTCGCTTCGTTAACTCTCACCCATAAAATAAAGGATTTCTCCCATACCTTACTTATTATGAGTACTTTTAATTACCACACAAAAGCCTAATATGAGAACAGAGAATATTCTTTTAATAGATGTTTAGGGAGAAAATATAATAATCAATTTCAAGTAGCAGGCGTTTTGATAGTTTTCATTAGCCCTTTAGCTGACTTCGAGCTTCACAGAGAGGAGAAGGAGGAGGAGGAGGAGGAACATCAAAGTGACAAAAAGTCGAGAGATGGGAGACACATGGAGGTATGTCTACCGCACACCCCAAATGAAATAATATATATTTAGAAAAAACTCCCTAATTTTGTTATAATACTGTCAGATAATAAAAGATTCCGAGATTTAATATTCATAAAGTTAAGAATGCACAAATAGGGCTCTCCAACTCAAATGATTAAAAGACTTGAAAACTTTTGCCGACATTCAAATTTGATACGGCCTCATTAATCAAACAAGAAGGTAGAGACAACCATTGGTTTTACTGGTTTCTAAGTACGCAGTTAGAAATTAAGTTACTTAACTAAGTCCTTATTTTTTCTTTATACGTAACAAGTTTTGCAGAAAACTGGGTATAGTTAATTGTAACAATCGACACACCATTGTCTACTATAAATTTTTTAACCATTCACCTTTCTTATTCCCCATTTAGTCCAAGTAACTAAATAAAGAGGGACTGAAACACTTGTCAAACAATAAAGCGGTGGATCATCAGCCTACTCAAAGCTAAGAAGGAATTGGAAGGCCAGGGCCTATCGCAGAAAAGGAAACTTGTTTTTCAAACTATTAATAAACACAGGAGTTTTGTTAACGGCAGAAGTAAGTATTGCGTGGGCGTAGACACCAAAAAAGCCCGAAAGAGCAAAGGCAAATTTGCGTTCAAAGGGCGTAGGTCAGTCGGTTGAGTCATAAACCCGCGCAGGAAGTGGGTTTATCAACCACCCAGACGAAAATCCTTCTTTTACCTTGGCTTGCACAGTGACAATGTTGGGACTAAGCACAGAAGCAGAGATGATCGCTGCAGCAAGAGCAATGGCCTATTTGTCATTTCGGGATGTTTTCCTCTGACAAACAGCCTATTAGACACACCCTACTTGCACGCCCTAGCCGATAGTGAAAACACTTCTCAACAATCAATTCCATGGTATCTTTGCAAACTGATTTTGGCATATCATATCTACTTCCATCGTTTTGTGCTGCTGGATATTGAAAACCCTAATAAGTGCCATTCACTTCCAGGTGCAAAAGCTAACCGATGCTATTATTAATAAACGCCTATTGAAATACTACTACTATGGGTGCACTGAGGTGGTTGAATGGGGGTAAAAGCCCTAGAGTGCAAACGACAGCTAATTATTCGAAAGTACTGTTGCTTCTATGACCTTGGATATACACGTCACTGATCGGTTGTCTCGTTAGCAAGAGATATGGCAGTGATGAGTTTTCTTTCTAGGATGTAAATTAATAGAAGTGGAGGAAGAAAATTGGGATGAACTGCATTCAAGGGATTTTGTGGTTACTGTTTGATGTATCATCACCAGTAAATGTTACTTTCTATCATATTTACTGTGGAATGTATCCCCAATGGATGTTCAAGGTATAATGACTATCCGAAAGTTGAGTTTGCATGACAATAGAAATAAAAGTTGAATCTACAATGGTTATAATTTCAAGGGCAATCGAAAGTGGGGTTGTAGTGGATTTTCAGGGTTTACAATACGATAAAAAGTCATTAAATACTAGTTCAATTACAATGGCGTTAATTGTAGATTCCTTAATATTGTATTTTAAAATTATACTAGGGTGAGGCTTAACCACTGAAACAAATGATTTATTCGTCTGAAGAAAGGGTGTCTTTGAGTGCTATGATTGAAAGATCACAAGCCCGTGTAGAAAGAAGCCAGTTGTTGTGGAATGAGTCTGTAATCCAAGTGCCCTGAGGCGGAGTGCTTGAAATTGTCATCTTTGGAGCATAACCAGGGATGCATGATGGCATGACTGACCGTTCAACTTAAGCTACCAGTCAATAAATTCCAAAAAATAGTGAATAAAGGTTTGAATAAACTTCTCGTAGCTGCGATTAAACGCTGTCCAGATCAGGAACCTAGGAACCAGGTCTTGTCGATCTACTGACTTTGGAATCCAAATGAATTTGGATGTTAGCGATTTTTTAACCGTCACTTATACTGCTCTAATTAATCCATCTTTCAAGAGATTTCATTTCCAGAACGCTTGAATGTTTCAACATGATGTTTTAGCGCATTTAAACTTAATTGTGGGAAATAACTAACCCTAATGCAGAAAAATTTGGGTTCCGAAGTAAATATACAAACTTAGATATTCAAGGTCAAATGGGAAGAATGCAGAATTGAAGTCACATTTTACTCATTAATTTATTTGAAAATAAATCGAACATCTTACATCCTACTCATTTGTTTATATACCAATAAATAGGGTCATTATTGTACATACATAAGGTGCATATTTTCATTTACTAAACGAATAAGATATTTCTCTTCAAAAAATAGCCTTTTTAACGACTCGATGGCCAAACTGTTTTTTGGAGCAAAAATTTTGGTAATTACAAAGATTAAAAAAATATGTAGTATATATTAAGCAGTAAAAGTGATATGATCAGTATATGATCATTGTGATAAATTAAGGATTTCTTTGTTTAACTTTAAAGTAACTTTTAGCGAATTCCACTTTAAGCGACTGTTAGAGTGACCTTTGAGTGAACTCTGTTCTGAGAGAGCCGTTTAACTAATGTTAAGATAGTGTGATATCACGGTGTTTTTTCAGCTTTTGAACTAAAAATGGTGCATGGAAGCTGGAAGGATCGACCAACATAACTAAATGGCACAAATAATTTAAAAACTTTTTCTCCGTTTCTGTGCATTTTACTTTAGCGCCACTTTATACACAAACAACTATAAATATATTCTAAGCAGAAGCATTTGTTTACATTGAAATCTTAATGATCATTTCATAAGAGGACAAAACGATTTTTAATCAGTCATCGAGACACGATTGTATGAATCCGGGAGCAAAGAATTGAGACTTTTTTAAATTCGAAAATAGCGTGCAACCAGAGTAGGACAACAGGGCATGACATTACAATCAATTATTCAACATTCTATAATTAAGATAACGATCGTGATGATGATGATGATGATGATGATGATGATAACGCAGAAGTAGGTCAGTATTTAAATTTGCGCTCCACCCACTGGTATTTCTTTCCAATGTTTGATAAAAGCGTAAAAAAACTACTTAAAAGCTATCTTGCTTAATGAGCATATAGAGTTATTCTCACCTTTTTTATTGCCCAAAAAATCACACAGCACTACTTCATTTGGGATCACTTATAAATAACATTATTAGTGACTAAATTTATTTGGATTATTTCCTAATACTGAATATTACCCCCAACGAACCCGCTTTGAATTCACAGAATTGCTTCCCTCTAACAGACAACTAAGTAATTCCAAATTGGTTAAGGATTATACATATATATATACATATATATTGAATGCGCTGTGAAGAATACAAGTGTATGAAACCGGAAATATTGATAAGATTGTTGTGCTTTCTATGGTGTGGAAAAAAAAGTTGAGAAATCAGGAAACGCGTCCTCAGAAGTTGAGCTAAGGCCACATGAGTACTGCATTGGGTAGTTCAACTTAGTCCAACCCTCCTCATATAAGACTTATTTCTACGAAATTTACTTGAAGAATAAAAACATGAAATTTGTTATGTAATTCAGTAAACTTTAGTTTTTTTAATTCTCAAGGAATTAATGCCGATTTATAATAATTACACGTGGCGAATCAAATCGTATTGATGTAATGTGTGTATACCACAAAAATTGGCAGGCATATAGCGCTGATTTTTTTAGAAATTTCTCATGTATATTTAGGCGTTTTAGATAGAAGAGAGTATTTTGAAATTTTCCCAACAATTTTTTTTCTAGGTGTCAAAACGAAAGGGGGAATGCCATTTTCAGGTTCATTAAAATCTTTTTTTTTTAAAAAAGTCACATGTTGAAAGACTTGGCAGATAACAGTTGACAACTGCTTTGCCGTGGGAAATAAACTCAAACAACAAGCTTTCTGACAATTGGAGATTTGAAAAGGGACATTTTAAGACTAGTGTGTATTGAATGCTTTTTATTTCATAAATCTTTCAGACACATAACGATGGCAGGCAGTTTACTGTCGAATTTCAAAGCCCTATTAACTCATTAGAGGTTTTAACTTATATCAACTCAGTTATGCCAGTGATTATAATGATAATGATAATAATAATTATTATTATTATTTAAAGAATTACTCATTAATTACCAGAAGAAGTGAAGGATTCTGCTATTTATAGCAACTGCGAATTGCACCTCTCCTACGCCACTTAACGTTTTTTAACCAATAAAAGTGATCAAGTGTAATAATGCCTGTCACTATTCTTGTTTACCATTTAAAACGAAATGTCATCCTACGTATCAATTATAATGAACAAAAGTGATTTGATAATGTAGTTGTGATTGCAACGAGGAATTTATGCTCTAATTCATTTTAATTATCAAGGGATATAACCTGTGATGCTGCAAGTAATTAGCTCCTTCGAGGTGTTAGAAATTCAACAGTTCTCACCCATCAAAATAGGACAATCTCTTTCCAATATCTAAAATGTAGAGCCCTAGGAAAGGCGGTGAGTGGAGTTATTTTTTCCAGTTACTTGAATTTTAAACTACAGAAAGGTCTGCTTGACATAGCCGAATTCTTCCCTACATCTTCAAGTGGTGTTCTTGGAGCAGAAAGAAACTAAAGTTGCGTGAACACGACTTGAGGCTCAAATATTTCCATTAATAAGGAAGAAGTACACTCCTTCCCTAAGAATATTGACATTCTACTCCTTCCAATGTTGCCTTTATTCCTTTTCTTCACAATGTGTAGAGAAATGTGTAAAAGATCCAGAGAGGCAACTCTCGCAGCATTCAACTCCTTCTATGAAGCGATTTTGATTAATTGACCCAGTAGTTTGTCGCTTCAAACATCCATACTCCAAATCTTGAGTTTGTAGTAAGTGATTTCAGCCCTCACTATGCCCTTTAGTACCTCGAAATGTATGGAAACTGAATTGCATTTCAACTAAAAATGTTGAATTCAGAAGTAAATGTCGTGTCATCCAACTCACCCTGAAGGCTAATCGAACTGTGGCTGCTCGCGCGAGTTCCGATCTTGTTGGTGGAGTGTGTGGAGGTATACTGTGATCTCGACAAACAGCTTGTTGAGAATTGAGCAAAAGAAGGAAGGGCAACGATTCGTCCGAATTTTCAGGCAACATGTTATCGCCATTGTTGCTAGCGCTACGTTGATAGAAGACACGCACTTCTGGATCACTAACTTTGAGAATTTTTTCTCCAAACAGGCTCGCTGTTGGTGTTTTCTCATCTCCGCTCGCAGCTGCAGTGACATTTGAGAAATCTTCCTTCAACCAGTGGTCTGGTGGATTGACCACCAAGAGAAGACGAATTGGGAGTGTTTGTTGTGAGCACCGAACACTGAAAAAGACAAAAATCCTCGAAACTTAGTTTTCGCTGTCAAAGGCAACTCCGACCAGACTCAATGGTTCTAGTGGGACGAATTTGATTTCGTAAAATTTTCTTCCTTTGATAAAGAGAAATTTATCGAAAATTTACGTAGTACATTTATAAAACAAAAAAGTACTAAAAAGAAATAATTTGTTCAAAAAAGCTTTCTATGTACTTTCTTGTTTGCACAGCGGAACACAATTATGTTAAAATATGATAAATTAACAAAGTGAATAATGAATTTTTAAAGCAAATGATTTTAAAATTTAGAGTTAACATGTGAATTTGGTCGTTTTTAATCATAATTAGAAAAAATTTTCCAATGGGTTTTTAGTTCTTTTAAAATAATAACTAAATATTCAGACTTAGTTTATTAATTATTTTCAATTTGGCTTGAAATTCAAAGTCCACTAAGAGAAAAACTTAATAATTTTAATTTATAATTTATTCAACTTTCCTTCTTCTTGGTTATATTTATACTTAAATCACTTTTAAATTATTAATCATTAGACCTGAATGCATCTATGACTAATTACTGTGTGCAAATTAGTACTTATAGATTTTGTAACAAGCATTAACGCCTCTTTGCTCATTAACATTACCAAGACAAGGCCAGTCTTAGCAAACCAATCACACTGAGAGAAGACTTCGGTTTGATTGCCTATCCACCGCTGAAGGGAATGTCTTAATTGATCATATAACTTACTATTGACGCCCAGTCTCTAATCATCTAACTTCGCACGCCAATACCCATTGGCTCATATTAGAAAAATAGGGTATTTAAAAAAGTTGGAATAGGAAGCAAAAATGTTGCTCACTTTGTCTTTAATCAAATGCCTATCATACTGGCAATAACAGTCAGCTTGTTCTGAGGCATATACAGGAAGTGATATCAAAAATATGCATTTCTAATACTTTTCAAGAAAGGAAACTCTACAGTATGCTAGCTAGCAGATGACTTAATAAGGGGGCTCAAGGTAATTGTTTCACATTGAATTATCACGATAAAGGCTCCAAATTGTTTCAACCTACGATTTTGATTGGCAGCTGAAGGTAATTATTGCGATCAAATTAAACTATGCAACTCTTTAGATGTCAATCATGCGAAAAATTGCAAGTTGAATTTTCATTCATATAACCTTTAGAACGGGTGTGAACAATTAATTAAAATGAGAAAGTTAGATTTAATATTTTACTATATTCTTTACCCATTAATTGATGTTCTTGTAAAAGAAATGTACTCCGATTTTTTAAATATTTTATTCCCAAATTTTTAGTTCTTTGGTACACGTCGTCTTCGAAAGAGAAGCAGAAATGTTGAGGTTATTTTGTTTAAACCGAGCACAAAAATTATCATTTACGGGGTGTACGATAGACTTACCTCCACGTGGTGCACCCTGGGCAACGTAAACTCATACGGCAAAAAAAGTTTATTAACTGGCAGTTGACTTCTGACTTCAAATTACCATGACCCCACTGTATGTCATATTCGATTACTTCCACAGTACTCACCTCACCTTTTTCCTACCTTTGTGTCTGTCACTTTTACATCTTTGAAACACTCTTCTGTTCCCCCCTCGACTTTTTTTCACTTTGATGTTCCTTCCTTTCTGTGAAGCCTGAAGTCAACTATCATAAAGCCTGCCATTTGAAATAAATATAAATTATCATTTACTATTTATATTTATTTATGATAAATTATGGCTGACTGTAAAAAAAGCCACTTTTGAATTCATATGGCAAAAACCCCAAATTTTACCACTCCAGTCCATCTCATATTTTAAAAAACATAATGATGGTACATTTCTACAGCCGTTTCTGAGTACAGAATGAAAATCAAGAAATATGTTTAATTGCGAATGGAACCTCTGGTAACTTTACAAATTTTAAATATAAAAACTTCGAGGTAAGTTCATTTCAATACGAAAAGTGAGAAGAGAGTTTGAATCAATGAGAATTCTCAGTGAGAAATTCGAATTCTACGACCTTCTCTATTGGCTAAACCTTGCGGCTAGCAGCTTCGCCTAAAGTTTTATTTCGACCTGAGTGGGTCAACTGGATTAATGAACTTGATTTTTCATGAGTTACGCTGATATCTTCTTTTTTATCATAATGGCAATTAACTTAGAACAGACCTTCGATTTCTAACTGAAATGGCAACGTTCTTTCCAGTTAAAGCGATAAGCGTCTTAGGTAGATATCCACGAGCAATATGAACGCACATATGCAACAAGTCAAAGGTCACTAGATCTATGCTGAAATAGATGGAATTGTTAAGAAAGAGATCCGATAGATAAAACATGTCATCATTCAATTTTATAATATCTCCTATCCGATAAAGTTATATAAGCCCACCATGGTCATTGTGCATTTCTGCTGTATTAAACTTCACATCAAAGCACATTCAGTGGTGAGTGTGCTCAATACCCCTCCACTCCTTCCCTCAACCCCCCCCCCCCACCCCACCACCACCCAAAAACAACCCAAGTCAACAAGAAAGGGGATAGAACGGAAGTTTCCAAAGGAATGGCTTTAGAACATCTTCTCTCTACCCAAATCAGGCGTTGTGAACACTTGTTCCTATGGTCTTAATAAATTATCAACTAAGCGTAAATGTGTTAATGGGGGGAATTTAAATACATAATAATTTCTATTGGTTTAGGCAATTCCGCCATTTCACACAACCTTTCACTTCGATTGAATCAGAGATTTGCTGTTAATTCAAAACCACAGATTCACTTATTAAAATTTTCAAAATAAGATGTATATGTATTATTAGAAATGGGAGATATGTTTAACAAATTTTGAAGACAAAAGGAGTTAGTTAAAGCAAATGAAGCTATCTCAGCGCGTTTGAATCCTCACAAAGCAACCAGGAATTTGTGAGCTCCAAATGGCAATAAATATCCAACCTTTCTAGGCAGAACGATTGAATTCTCATGCAAAATATGTGAAAGGAGTTAAGCCATGTGATTTGGCGCCCTTGAATATGAGCAACAGTGGGAATTATCTCTCAATAAGCAAAATAAATATAGTGCTATTCACTAAAGGCGGATATTACCAATCAAAAGTTTTTATCAATTGTTGTTTCTATGTTTGAAGACACCCTTCATCTGTGTCCTATTTATATGAATCACATCGCTATAAGCTGAGAAATCTAGCAGAATTAAAGGCAATGTTGGTACCTTTCCATTGTCATGTCTCTTTGAAAATACAATTGCGATTTAATACTTTTAATTTGGAAAATTTGATATTGGCACTCACTTTAGCTGCATAAACGATGTCTAAATAGGCCGTTTCTCACAGATCAATTCACATTGTTGTTAACTAAATATTACCCACCCGTATCAATAACAACAACGCCTTTGCATTGCCATACTACGATTGAATGGAAACAGGACTGTCATGACGTGATTGAACTTGACTACCAACCAACACACAAAACAGACTGATGACAGTTTTGTAGTGTTGTAAATGGTGCGAGTGTATTATGATTACATCTCAACTCTTTGGTAACGTGTAAAAATATGATTAATACATCGATCTGTGGAGGTGAATTAAGTTAGTTCATAATTGAGACACATCTGGTGGGATGCAACTTACGGATCAACCGGAGTAAACGTAGCGAGGACCTTGAGATTCATGCAGTGGACTCGGGGAGCCCAATAGCCGGGTAGAATTTGAGTATCGCGTGTACAGTCCTCCAGAGTATCCAACTTCTCTTCAACGTGACTCGAACCGTCCTCTCGCACGACGAAAACCTCCACCCTAAAATGTGCACAAAAATAAAACAAACTGTCGAGCCTAAATTTTTAAAAATCCCTAAAATGCTTGATAATTTAGATTTAATAAGAGATAATATTTAAGTAACTAAATAATCTCGATTTTAAGTGAGTTAAAATTCAAGGTTTAGTGTCAATGCACTGTTTGAGTTAAAAGATATACCTGATGACAGGACGAGTTCGAAATACCACCATTTTGTCTGACTCGGGGGCTCCAACGGCCAGGTCGGGGTAGCCGTTCAAATCTAAGTCTAGACCTCCAGATGAAAGGGAAAATCCAAAGCTCTTGATCGGCTCCGACAGATCTGTCGCATTGAGAATCTAGGTGAGAAACAAAGGGGTCCATTTAATTGGCGACTGGAGAAGAATCAAGGTTGTAGTTGATTAAATAAAAGCGATATGCTATCAATCTCGAGATTAATAAGATGCCTTTGCGAAAACGCAATAACATGTGTTCCATCAGATGCTTGCTGGCTCATATGTTAACCCATAATCTGAGAAGAGCTAAAAACGGGTCAGATTTATTCCTATTTATCCACATTCTTCTCTGCATGTTCTCCAATACCCTAAAACAATGCTTTTCAGTTAGAAGAATGGAGCACTTTAGATGGAAACGACGCGAGATAAATGTTAAATCGATTTTTACTAATTTTATTAATGAAATTATAGTTTTCCTACCCTCTTCTATATATTTAGACTGTATGTTGCTCTGTGGTTTTGTAAAACCACTTGCCAATGGAGTAAACTTGAGAAACGATCATTAAGAACTACAATTCAGAGTGTGAAACATGGCATTGAAATTTCGAAAATTGAATTGCCTTGTTTGTGAGTATTTACAACCCAAACCCAAAACTTCGTCAACTTGACGCCCTGATCAACACCTTGTTGATCCCACCCCTTTTATCATTTACTGGATTCTTTGCAAACCATTCGTAGATGCTTCTTTTTCCTACAAAAAGTAACATTTTAGCATTATTAATAATGAGTATTATTGAGTTAGTAGTTCAAATGCTATGTGCTTCAAATATCAGAACCGCTCGCTTCAGACTACCGCTAATCGATTATGCCATTAGAGTTTTAGTGCTACATTAATTTTAGCATAAAAATTGTACATATATTTCGCCTCTATAATTTAAGGAAGTCCACAATTATTGCAAAAGATAGAGTTAAATTTGAATTGACAGCCCTTTAACTACCAATTTCAAATTTGTGATGAAAGGTATCTGACAATAACAGATTTAATAAGCTCTAATAATAAGCTGCAAATACTGCCGTGAAACTAAGCGCTTTTGCAGGGCTAAAGCATCCGATGAACCTGCTCAGTGGGTTGAGAATATTTTTGGTGTGATCGTTGTTGTGGAAATACCCTACAAAGTCGAATTCCATTTCTCGCGAATGTTAAAAATCGAATTTGAAGTAATTCGGAAAGAGAAACCAATGCTTTGACAGAATTGACGAGATCACTGCCTCACAATAGGACGATTTCAGGAGTCCAATTTCTGAATACTTTAAAAAGGTCTGGAGTGGTTAAATTCACATGATGTCAGATAGCCAATCCTAATCACAGGATCAATTGTAAAGCCGGTTTATTGATGAGGGACTTTTGGAGTTAATTTCATTGTTGGTGGGATTTAGCGAGGACGCAAAGCCATAATAGTCAATAGCTTTATGGGTGAATGCACAGTCACGAAAGTTGCTTGAGTTGATAAGTGATCTATGACGTTTGGCCTCAGGGGCTTAATCATCGAGGTCAATTACGACATTACGAGACGCATCACTAGCACTAAATTCTACTCTCTCCTCCGCTCTATGCTGCAATCGACCCTATAAATGTGTCGTCAAACATTGATTAATAAGTGCAGCAGATTAGCTAACGATCTAAATGAAAAACTTGCACCTCAATTAGTCAACCTGAAAGTTAACAAACAAACAAAAAAATAATCTTCCACTCAATTAAACTTACAGAAGAAAAAAAGGCTATTTTTGACATTTCTACCAGAAAAGAGACATCGGAGTGATTTAATGACACCTCACAATGATTGGCGTTTTCGACACCTCCTAATAGCCCCTGAAAAACTTGAATAAATTCGCGCGCGTGCGTGTGTGCGTCAAAAGATTCCACATCATTATTAACGTTGCCTATTTCGTTTCGGATTGTTTGGAGAAAGATATTTAAAATGTGAATTTCTCTCGACTTCTTTCAACAGCTGACGTTCAAAAGTCACAATCAGTCCCAGGCTCCATGTTTAGAGAAAAGCTGAGAGGTGGATGGGGGGGGGAGTAATTGTCAGATGTACTGTGACTAGAAAAGTTCAGTTGGAGGAAAAGTGTGAATCATTGTACAAGGCGAGTGGATCTAATTTCCAAGATAATGCTATCAAATTCAAAGGGGAGTGGGGAGGTGATTTATAGGGATTAAGAATTTGGCTGAAACAAATAATTATTTTTAGGCGAAGAACTTATTTTGATAGAAGAATGATTGAGGCAATAAATTGAAAACTGGTGTAATTTTTCAATTCAAGGGAGGGGTGGGTAAAGTTGAATTTTACCGATTTTAGGAAACACCTGCAACACTTCTAATTTCCACCTTCTACTTTGTAAAATAATCCGATCAATTTTTCGACCATCAATAATGCCCTCTTCTTTACCAATTAAAAGCTGTCAATACATCGATTTTGTTTAGGAAGACACACACACACACTCGAGCAAACATACATAAGTTTTCAATATTTGAAACGCGTGATCTGCCAAGATCCAATCAAATTATTGATTTATTTTTGGTCAAACCTACAAATACTGGAGAGTTAGTAGGTGACTGTGCGGGTTGAGAAATTTGGGGGCGTAATCTGAGGTTATTTTTTAATTCTCTTACGCACAACCGCGCAACCCCCCCCCCAATTCTATCTATAAATTTTAATATTAATATTAATAAAAAGCCTTGGAAATATGTACGAATGCGTACTTTAAGCACTGGTTACACCGTAACCACTGGAAGTAGTGCTACTAATGGAATGGGGGTTGGGTGTTGTTAGGGTCATGTCAAGGACTTTTACTGGGATTATCAGTACACATTTCTTTAATTTAATGATCAAATGTCATGAAATTTGTGGCGATTGACCTCTTAACGCTATTAGTACATTCGTAATTGGAAGAAATTCTGTCCCAATGAAGTTTCTTAAACGCAACATGTCCATTCTATGGATTTTTTTCAATAATAAAATATTGAACTATGTAAAAATACTTTCAATTTATTCCGCTTATGAATTTAATTTAATTTGACGTACGTTTTAATTTATGAAATTTTTTATTAAAAGTGTTCAAGTAATAGATGGAACGCTTGATAAGGTAAACTTCCCATGGTTAAATTGTGGACATAATTTGTTAGAATTTTTCAACGTGCTTTATTTATCAGGTTATTTTTAACATGTCTACTTATTAATTTACGCTTATATAAGAAATCGCACGCAGACAATTTCTACCCAATGAGCGAGAGGAAAAAGAGCGAATTGATGCTTTTAAATCACGATTTTGTTATTTCTGTTCACTTGTTTGACGTTTAATGAACTTCTAAGATATCTTAACATTGCAAAATTTCCTTTCAATAAAAAACATCTATGTAAAATAAATCGTGAAACACTATCAAGGTATGGACTTAGGAATTATCAATGTTTGAACCTGAAGTGAAACCACACCAGAACTGATTTTCGGACAAAGTGGTGCCAACAGGCGGGTTGGGGGGGGGGGGGTTGGTTTGAAATTTCGTGGCCAAAGTCAAGTGAGATTTTGGTACATTCAAAGATTAAATCCAAGTCAACTTGTATATGCATAGATAAGGTGAGCTGAAAGGAGAAACTGTCTCATCTGTGAGAAAGATACCACGATATTGCTAACTGTTCCTTAACGCAGACATGGGTACAATAGTTGTAGCAAAGAGTCTCAGAGTTGAACACTTTTTGTTTGATCGTTGTGGCAGGACTATGTTAACGAGCTGGTTTGATCTGGTAATTTAAGCCTCCTTAAATGGCTGGAAGAGTGTATGAGGTCTGAAGGTACGTCGATTCAGATTAGCCTTTACTGGAGGGTTCAAGTTAAAATGTTCAGCAGAAGAAAATATGGAGCATAAGGAAAATTCAACAACCGTACAATATTAGAAGGCATTAGTTTTTATTACATTTGATGTTCCTCCATAAAAAGGAGGGTTTTCAGGGGCGTAGCGAACGAAAATATTGCTGTTTACTGGCTTACACTTCCAAAATTTCACTATTCTCAACCAGCGAGAGACCAAAAGCATGCAATACAGTATTCAGTAGAAGTGTTTTCAGTTTTGATTTCTTTACTGAATGACGGAACGGAATATTGCCCCTATTTCCAAGTCACCGAGCACGAATGATACCTTCTACCCACGTTCCACTCAGTTGATGACACTGCAAGCAAACTGTTGTACCAGTCAAAAGGGGGGGGGTCTTCTTGGGAAGTTATATTCTTTGGATGTGGGGTGCGCGATAGACTTACCTCCACGTGATGCACACTGGGCAGCGTATACGCATACGGCAAAAAATGTCTATTAAACCGGCTGTTGACTTCTCACTTCTAACTACCATCACCCCAGTGCAATTCATACTCCACCACTTTCACAGTATTCATTTTACCCTTTTTCCACTTTTAAATGTATCTACCTCTTTTGCATCTGTGAATCACTCTTCTGTTCCCCTCCCCTTGACTTTCTGCTACTTTGATGTTCCTCCTTCCCTCTGTGAAGCCCGAAGTCAGCTAAAGGGCTAATGATAACTATCGAAACGCCTGCCACTTGATATAAAATAAATAAATATTCTTTGGGTGTAGATGATTGTACGTCATGCTATGTTTGCACATCATAAAAATGGTAGTCATTTAACGGTAGAAGTGGAGTAGTTCGATACATTAAAAGGGGCCCATCTCGAATATTTTTTGTTGACCCCTGCCCAAGTGGCTCTTATGATGCACTCTTCATGGTGTCAATCAATCCTTCTGCCTGACTACTTGACACGGAAGAGCAAACGTGGTGATAATATGACTATGTCATAAGTATAAAAAAGACCCTAAGACAATCGTGTGGCGGTATTGATTCCAACGGTCCATAAGTTGAAAATATAGAGCCAAGACCATTTATCAATGTGGAAGATGTAATAGACTTTGATAGAATAGTGTTATGTCACTCTGAGTGAAGGCCTACTGCGAAGAGAATTAGGAGACTATTGAAAAACTCCGCAAACTTCACGTGATTTAGGACAATGAATAGGTTCCTATTGAATGGGAAGCGAATCCGCTCGCTGCCATTTAGAAATATATTTGGCTAACTGCTTCGGCATTGTTGACATTCCATATTGGAATGCAAAAGTTTATGCTTTCGGTTCACTTCTGTTTGCCCTCCTATGACTTCTATCCACCTGGAATGGGAGGACGCGACTAACATTTTATCTGCTAGTACATATGAGATTGC